CACCGGACCTGATCTCCGGCTTCTGGGACGCTCTGTTCAAAAACTCACACCCTTCCTTTTTTTCCCCTTAGCAACGTCTGTATCAGACTGGAAAGACGCTTGCAGCCTAGAGCTTATGCCAGTTATCCTGTAATGTATGTGATGGGCAGAGGATCTGGTTATTGCTCAAGACCCAGACTGTATCCATCTGTTGTCTGAATTGTACCATATGCTGGAATGCACCACTTGGCTCATTCTGGTCAGAGGAGTCCCTTCATAGTCCTAACCCTGCAATTAGCTTCCCCTCTGCCTACCCCAATTTGTCTTCCAAAGTGTGAACTTGTACTGCAGCTCCTCTGAAATCAACCAAGACATAGCAATAACAAAGGCTCAGATTTCGCTGTCCTGTAATAAGGAGACTGAAATGCTGAGAATATTGTACTGTCAACTTTTTGCCCCGATCAAGTGTCTATAAAGGGTAAGTGTCCACATGAAGGTGGTCACTAGCTCTATAAAGAAGTTAAGAGTTTCACAGTCTACCTATCAGGGTGTTCAGATGAAAGTGGTGTCGGCAGCATATGGCATAAGCATAACAGGCAACAGATTGATTTTACAAAGAAAAAAAAAACTAAAGTATTAGAAAATTAAGAGGGTTAACCTATAATACAGTCTGAAAGCAACACAGAATCTACAAATACAGCATTGTGACTGTGCTGTACACTAGTACCAGTATTAAAAGCATTTTATGAATGTTTATATTATTTAAACATTTAGTCAATAATAATGGGGGAAACTACTATAAATAACAACTGCTATAGCTACTACACCAGTATAGTAAGTTTGTGCACTTTAAGACAGTTGTAGGCTCATTTTTTCAGCTGAAACTCCAGTGGGGTTTAATGGTCAGAGACTAAGTAAAGAATAAATATAAAATCTAATTCAAACAATTACTTGGTATATGTGAACTTTAGAACCTCTTACTGTACACTGAGCTCCATGGATCTTACAGGATTGCTGATGCAATTTTCTGGTGAATTGACTGGTTAGTAGACATTCATTTTGTACCTGTAAGCGCTGCATAAGTTACCATAGCAATGTACCCCGTTTTAAAAGTTGACCACTTTCATAGCACTGAAAACACAGCATTAGTAATGGAGTTACCTGGTTAAGCCCAAATCCTACTTCCTATTATGACCCTCTGGACATATACATAATACAGTAGCAACTTGTCCATAATAGCCTTTATAATAGGTATTACTACTGATTAAATAAATTAAGCTAATTATTTCTGGTTACTTTTGGTTAAACTCAATAGGAATGACCAAAATTGTTCAGGAGTTCTGGGCACTTTTTGCCAAACAGAAGTAATCAGAAGTCAATAGGAATGGCTAAGTTTGCCCAGGATTTTCTTTCTCAGTTCAGTTTCTGTTCTCACGCACCTATTGTTAAAACTTGAGTGTGTTAAGAAACGTCCACAGCATTTTATCTTTCCAGTAAATGGATAGATATGTTTTTCCAGCACTAATCATTGTCGTTATGGTGTCAGAACTTCTTCAGTGGCATGATAAGGTATCTTTGATGGTCTCACTTTAGTATGGCGTTGGCAGTTGGGTCTATGGGTGTGAAAAAGAGGAGACGTTTCCCTCTGTGTCATGTTTGTGTATGTCCCTGCAGATGTGCGTTCATGGCCCTGGCAGGCCTGTGTCTCTCTGTTTGGCTAACCCCTCCTACGCATGTTGCTCCAACGCTGGCCTTTCTCAACCTGCAGCCCACTGGAAATGGCCATGAATGAACACATTCTCTCACTTTCTGCCTGTCTCCCAGTTTCACTTTCTGCCTGTTTGCAATCTTACCCACTGTTTCACTCCCTCACTTTACCAGAGCTCACGGTGACTTTCATGTCTTTCTCACCCCACTTATCTTCTATTGAACACATACACTGAAATCAGGCCATAAATCAAATAATGATCATCTGCACAGTCACATGTCCTTATAAACTCTAACCACTAAGTGAGTTATTTGTTCCTACTTAACAGACAACATGCAAAACCGCATATGTGAGCAAGTTTACAATGGCACAAAAGTGTACTTAAAGTATGAAAAGACACTGAGAAACTCTGTGGACTTTATGAATCTTTTTTTTTTTTAGAAGAAACTAATATAGTGAGTTTATCAAATATCTTACAAATTACAATTTATGTAACTACACTGATGTAATAATCCTGAGAATTTAATATTGCTATAACAGGATCTTCTTGTCTACACTGGTTAAAAAATAGTAAAGGTACAATTACCGCAGTATAAATGGCGATGCAAAGCTGAATAGCTGACACCTTTTCATAGTTTGCACTGTATACAGATTATAATAGGAAACTTGCTGTAAAGAGCACAACACTTATCCAAATCTGACTGTCTTTAGTCTTGACTCTGGGCTAGAATAGAATATGAAGCTCTGTATTATTAGTCCCTCCTACACTAAATACATACAGGTACTGTGCTATTTAAACAAAATTAAATTGAAAAGAATGAATGTAAATGAGTCCTTATACTAAAGAGGTGCTATGAAACGTTCAAATATGCTTCTTGCTAACATTTGGTCATGACTTTCTCTTCTTTTTCCCCCTCCTATGTTTTTAAGATGAATCAGTTTTTACCCATTTTGTCTCTGTACTCACTGTGCCTTGTGTTCTCACCTAACACTACAGTGCAGCTTTTTAACGTGTGTTTGTGTGACTGTGTGTATGTAATTGGGTGTTCCCTGGTGGCGGCTCTGGGTCTGCAACCTTCAGAGGACTGAATACAAGGGCTGTGTGTTGTTTGTGTGTTTTGGGGAAGAGGAAATGGTTTTGGCTGTAAAAGGGTGCGGCTAATTTGATGTACTTTTTCCCATTCATCATTTTCTAAAGCAAAAATTTGAATAAACCTTTTATTTCCAATTACTTGAGCTGCATTTTTAGACCTGAAGAGCTTGTGTCCCATCTAGAGGAGAGATTTCTGCAGAATGTTTTTACTGAACCCAACACAAGTCTGGAAAAATAAGGGACAAAATCTGGACACACTTCAGAGAATGTGATATTTTCCAATGCATGTTATACCCCAGGGAGAATTGAAGGAAGAAGTAGAATCCAAGGAAATCTCTCTAAAAAAATAAAAAAGGAACAAGGTTGAAAACCAATATTTAAAGCCTGTTATCTTCAAGTCATCAGCCAGCACTGCATTGCAAACAGCAGTATAAATCACTGTGTGGACTCCAGAATTCTTCCTAAACCTATCATCAGTTTGTCACAGGGTCCATAATTGCCTATTAAATAAATTAAAGGTTCACTTAAGAAAAGTGGGAAAACTTGAACCCATACCCCGGGTTTAAGAGTAGATGGCCATATAGTTTCTCAGTAGATGGTTCAAAGGCCTCTATCCATAATGGTACTACATGGGAGATGCAACAAGGCATGGCTGTCTTATTCATCTATAAAGGCCCCATCAATGCTAATGTATACATGTTTTGCAGCAGCATATGCCACCATCCATATGATGTCTTTTTCAAGAAAGGCCTTTCCTATTTCAGCAGGGCAACATTCAGTTCATGTTACAACAGCACTGGTCTATGGAGGGAAGAAACCCTGGTGCTAAACTGGACTATGTTTTCTTATTGAGTAATAATCGTAAAACAATTCCCCTCAATTCCCAAAAGGTTGAGTGTGGTTATAAAGGTACTCACTGTAAACTCATAAGTTCAAAATGGTTACAGCCTCACCAAAATTTGAAATTCCCCCTTGTGGGACTAATAAAGGTATATCAAATCAAACCAAGTCAAATCAAATGTAAAGCATCCCTCACTCATTATGAGCCAACCAGCTGACACACAGATGGATATGTATAAGTAGCTGCTCTCCACATTTGTGCAAACGGATAGTAAAGATCAACTTACTAACTTAGTTCCAAAAAGACAACTATATGTGATTAGCTGTCTATCAAATTGTTACCTGGGGCGCCTCTAAATGGATTTCCTAAACTTTTTGGTGCTGGACTCTAGAGATAAGTTTTTGTTCTCATGTCCATACCTATAGTAAGTTTCAGAATCACGTTTAACATGTTGATCCATACTCAATAATCCAGTTAAAGTAAATCCCAGAAAGATGATTGTGTTCATCATTGTATTTTGATTGTTATGCAACTGTACTGTTTATAAGGTTGGAGAAACCTGCAGTGAGCTGAGACTGAAGAAGTCAGTGATGAAACATTCTCCCACGGTGCCTCCAGATGAACCGAATCAACTTTCTGGGAATCACCAGTTAACGAAACTTGTATATTTAAACACAAACTTCACACAAAACAGGAAGTTTTAACCCAGAACTTCTTAGAATAAGGCAGCAGTACTAACCACTAACCACACCTATCTTGTCTAATATACTTTTTTTTTTTTTAAAATTTGTGTTACAATGGTGGCTATATCAACACAACCTCATAAAGCATTGTCTTCTAGTCATTTAAAATTTTAAATCAAATTCAGAAATACAGTTAGCAATAGTTCCTTATAAAAGAAGTAGTAAGGACATTGGTAAGCATACCCCAGCTTTTCATTTAACAGGTATTAAATTTAAATTGAACAGATCTTCTTTAAAAACATTTATAAATTTTTATTTAATAGCACTCATTGTTAGTGAAAAATAAATAATGCATTGAATTTTTGTGACTTTCTTGGATTGTATGAATGGGATTCTACTTAAAGCAGGTCTCTGCTTCTAATACAAGGACCCCACAACTATTATGGCCCATCAGGATTGTCTCGATCTCTCCCCAGAAGGCTGGTTTAGAAGCTGTGACATTTTTCCCCATCTTCCTGCTTGAACTTGTAGAACACTGGGAAAGTTCACTGTGTGTAAACTGTCATCTGGCTTTATGTCTGGCTCTGCTCAGTGGGAGCCTAGGACGTCAAAGAGATACCCTACCACTTCAAAGTATAGCACATAACTTTTGCTAATTGTTTTGTTTTCTTCCCCTCCCTGCCTCTTTCTCCATAGCAGGGTGTGTCTGGACCTCAGTGCTCTAACCCAGCCATGAGCATCATCGGGGCTGAGGATGAGGATTTTGAAAACGATCTGAATGAGGTGAGTGCAGAAAACAGTGGCACATGAAGGACTGATTGTTACTTGATCATCATATCTCAGATAAGTTATTCCATCTCCTTTTACACCTATTTATTTTTGTCTGTCTCAGTACGTGGAGGACCGGTCCAACACCTTTGACCACATAGAGCAGTTGAAGAGTCGGCCGACCCACCTGCTGGTTTTCCTGCAACATGTCATTCTGCAGTTTGACCCTGCTCCCCTGGTGAGAACTCACATTATGCAAGATCCACTACAGCCAACAAGCTATATGAAACTGAGATAACACAAGCTTCCACAGAGCAGCTACTGTTAACAGATATTTTTACAAAGTTAGTGACGATAATGATGAGTAATTCTAAATGTAGAGTTAGTATATCACCTTTTAGATATGATCTAATCATGAAATCCATTTCATAATAGTCATCAGTTTCTGTCTGGCTTGTGTGAAACACATGAAACGGCTATTTTGATGTCCACCGTACCTCAGTGTGGATTAAGACTGTTTTACCTATGAGTCCAATTTTATTTTTCAGAGTTAATATTTGGATTTAGGATAAAGGTTAGAATTAGTTGTTGGTTGGGGTTAAATTGGAGACCATGGAATGCATAATACCGATGAGTAACCCCCATGGGAATAGTGAAAAAGGTTTGTTTGAGTGTGTATGTCAGTGCTGATCAAAGGCATGCCTGTCCTTTTCCCTTTATTCTGCATGCAGAGAACATGACCCACCCAGGTACTGTTACACCTTTCACACCCACGATGTCCTCCATCACCCCCCTGCTTTTCCCTCATGTTTGTCACGACATGAGTAGTGTAGTCTGTTTACAAAATATTTGTAATTCTGCAGCATTTAAGAAAATGTGGTTTGCATCAGTGGTTGCATGCTCAATTTGCTTTGGGGTTATAGTGCGTCCACTAGACAAATGCAGGTTGGGGTATGTGCATGATAATCTCTGGAGGGGACAATAACTACTTTATGGGATACTGTCATTAGGATTCAACTATTAAATTGATTTCAGTCATTTTGTGTTATACATGTAAGCACACTGAGTCAAACTGAAGTTAGGTTTTTATGTCTGGCATGCCTTTATGTGATGTAGGTGTTTGTGATCTTTAGTGGTCATGTCAAATAAAATTGTGACAGCTGTGGTCATAAATTGGCACAAGTAGTTATTTTAAAAGATTTTGGAGCTATTCAAATAAAATAAATAAAATTGTCTTTTTCCCAATTGTCAGCTCTGTTACCTCCATGCTGAGCTCTTCAAAAACCTCAGTGCCAAAGAGACCAAAAAGCAGTTTGGGGATTTTTACACAACCTTCTTGGACAAGGGTGCAGTAAGTAGCAGACTACTCAACATTTCTGTCTTTTTTAAAGCCGTCTCGATTATCAAAAATTGGCCCAAATGTTTACACCTTTCATAGCCAAAAAAGAGATAATGATGTAAAGCTTGAAACATTAAATTTGTTGCAGACTTCATGCAAAAAACACAGAAGTCACTCTGATAATTAAATACAAAGTATTTTATACTCTTTGTACTCTTTATCTTATCTGTCCTTATTTACCTTTTGCTTTAAATGGAGTTATAATTGCACTGTAAAAAAAAATTGATAACCACTAAAATGATTTCTTCCCTCAGGTTCTTTTGGCTCATGGCCTGGATGATCAAACTATCAACGTTCTGCTTGTATGATTTGAAATATGCCCATAATAACAGACTGTAGGGTTGGCTCCCTGTCTATGTATTTTTTAGATCATTGATATTCCCTTAATTCTTAGCTTTAAACTTATATTTGAGCTTCTTAACTTCAAGGTTAGTAAGACAAAAATAGCCTTTGTATGATCAGTACAATATTGTGTTTTATTTTTCTAAAATTATGAATTTACTGAGCTGCTCAGCTCAATAAATAAGGTGAACTTATGAGAGAGGAATCCATTGTTTTTGTTTGCTTTGTCTGTACAGTATCTGTCTTGCACACCTGGCCCACATTACTGTCTGTTATATTTGCTCCTCAGAGCTCATGCACTGTACATGTCTATCAGTTGAGTCAAACTCCCTGCCAGCCCGTACAGCCTCACAGCTTCCTGTCAAGATCGTGGGAAAGCCCTGTAGAAGGAATCATCTTCGCTCAGTCCCTCCTTTTTTCAGGGTGAAAAAAGGAGGGACTGAAAAAAGGAGGTTAACCCTCTGTTAACCTATTGACGTAAAGTTGGCCCATGTGGTTATTTTCATGTCAATGACAGAGCTGACATGAGCACAGAGCATCCCCCTTTGGAGTATCTGTTTTTTCTCTTATCTATATTTCTTGTGTTAAAATGCCACCCTGTGGTGACATCTAGCTACTGCATCACAGTGTTTTACAAAACAAACCGAGAATCCATACTGTCAGTTAGTCTGAATGTTGTCTGAATCGTATCTCATTTTTCTATTTTTCACTCTGTATCTTTTTGTCATTTGCTTCACATTGCAGGTTCTGAAAGTGGCAGTACCAGCTCACGTAAACTCTGAGTTGGGTAAGTTATTTTCCAGTCATGTTTATAGATATAAGTCAGTGCATTGTTGTTTTGTTTCTCTCTAGTTTTTGGCTCACCCTTTCCTTTCTCTTTTCCGTCTTCTACATAAGATCGATCCCGTCTAGATGTGCTCACAGATGATACCCAAAAGCGCTTCGCTCAGGACATTCAGAGCGTCCAAGTTGCTGAAGTGGCCAAACAGTTGGAGGATTTCAGGTGAGAACTCTACTCAGTCTTTACATACTTTACTAAATTGGCAAGTAGTTTATAAATGCACAACAAGCATCTCACAACATGATTAGAACATCCAGGGTTGGGATTAATGGCTGATATGTGATCAGGGACATTCTTGAAACTTTGGTTAATTAATTTTTAAAAAATTACTACAATAATAATTATACTTTTTATTAATCTAAAGGTTGGTGTTGTTGGTGTTTCTCCTCACTAAAAAAAAAAAGAAAGCTTCATTTTGATGATCCGTCTTGTTATTGTCTTTGATACATTTTCAGTGAGTTACTTCAAAACAAGCTAAAAAATCATTTTCAAATTTTGGTCTCAAAAATTTCTATTGTTTGTTGTTGGAAATGAGAGTTAAAAGGTGTAACAACACCTATCTGGACACTGAGCTGCTTTAAATTACCATCTCAGTTCTTTTGCATTGTTAACCCAATAACTACAATTCGTCATTACTCAAGTAACTTGAAACAGTTTTTTAAAGTAATTAATTGGATTCAACTTCTAGGTCTAAAGCTATTTATGAATGTTAGTATTTGACAACATTCAACAGTTATGTGAACTTAACATTACCGTGCATATCCTGATTGTAGGTATGCAATTTATAAAATCTAGCCCTCCTCCATTTAGAATTGCAACAGTGACTAATACACATTAGTCACTAAAGGGAAGACTAATACAAAACTACAAGTGTTTACACATAAAGATTTCAATATGAAATCTTTATGTGTAAACACTACAAAAGGTTGTCTTGTCTTCACATTCTCTGTTAATGACACCTGTGCTTAGGTAAACAGAAATATGCAGGCCACTCTTTACCAAAATCCATATGAAGCACACTGATCTGATATTTGAGAGTAAGATGACAAAGGAAGGTTGAAGGTCATGGAGAAAAAATGAGTAGGTGATTCTATAATTTAAAAGGTTGCCTAATTTTTTGCCCATTTCTCAGTCCTAGATTTATGTGTACCTTTTTAATGAATTAGAAAAACATAATGTACTTTGCAAAAGTCTTGAACCACAAAAGTCTTGAACCACCCCTCGTTTTTTATGTGCAAGCTTAAATTGAAATACGGAATATAAGGTAAAAACACAGTTTGAACAATTCAAAGAAACTTGAAAGTAAGTATTTGGTATGACCACATTTATCCTTCAACACTGCGTAAACTTCTTTAGGCGACTTTCTTGTCATTTCTTTAAGTACTCTTCAGGAATGGTCCAAAGCTCTTCTTTGGATGCTATCTGCCTTTTGTTCACTTTTTCACCAAGATGAACTCACACTGCTTCAATGTTGTTAAGGTCTGACCTCTGGAGAGACCAGTCCATGACTGGTTCTATTGTATGTTTTTCTATCTGGGTGTGCTTTTACTGCACAGGTGTCGAACTCCAGGCCTCGAGGGCCAGTGTCCTGCAGGTTTTAGATGTGTCCTTGAACCAACACAGTTGATTGAAATGGCTAAATTACCTCCTCAACATGTCTTGAAGTTCTCCAGAGGCTGGTAAAGAGCTAATCATTTGATTCAGGTGTGTTGACCCAGGGTGAGATCTAAAACCTGCAGGACACCGGCCCTCGAGGCCTGGAGTCCGACACCCCTGTTTTACTGCTTTAGCAGTGTGTTTGGGGATCACTGCGATGCTGACAAATGATGCTACTGCTACTCATACACTTACCAGTCTGTATTACATGGTGGATCATCTTTTAAATCACGTCTTAAAACTAATTTTTTTACTTTGGCTTTTGATTCTGTCTAGTTGGCTGGTCTAGCTTGTTGTGTTGTTACCTATTGTTTGTTGTCCTCTTTTATTGTTTGTTTTAACTGTCTCATGCTTTTACTGACTGTGAAGCACTATGGTCAACACTGTTGTTTTAATATGTGCTATATAAATAAATTTTGATTTGATTTGATCAAAAGCTGACTGTGCTTTTCTGTTACTTTTGCACAACACTGTCTTCATTTTATCCTTTTAGTGTTAAAAGTTTGAGATGTTTTTGCTAAACTTGCTTCTCTGCTCTTGCTCTGTGTTGCCTAGGCAAAAGAGGATGATGGGTATGACCCTCAATGAGACTGAGCTAAATGACGTGGACAGCCACTATCCCACCGACCGTGTCCCAATGGAGATGAAGGAGAAGTCTGTTGCTGAGAACCTCCTAGAGAAGATGTCTGAGACACAGTGAGTTTTACTCCACTTTTCAACAAATATTTCAGGTATCCAGCCTCCACAAAGTGAAGTTCAAGTCATTTTCTGCATAGAGATTCTGCTGGATGTGCATAAAATGCCAACGATTACTAATAATGGGTAACCACTTTACATATTACAATAATTTTTGTTAGATGTTCTTGGGAGCTATTTTCTCCGCTATTACTTTCTGCTGTGCACATGAAGATGACTGATCTGTTGGCTAAAGCTGGTAGTTTTGTATTAATCTTCCCTTATCTTGCTTCTAAACTTCCTTTAAAACTATAAAGGAAAGCGTTATCATTAGTCGTGCACAAATCCATTTCCAAACAGAGTGTATAAAGCAGGTAATTGATGAAATTAAGCTGACAAGGGACCTGTGATTGAAACACAACAAAACAGAGCTAGAAAGACATGAGGAAGCGGAGAAGAAAAATGGAGTCAGTAGTGCCACGCTGGCAGGAAGGCTCTCCCCTGGCATTTTGCCAACTGAAGGAGGGCTGGTAGTGGTAGTGCGAGGTGGAGGGGGTAAGACAGCAGAAGAGACAAAGGAAAAGAAAGGGCCAGAGGGTTATCGATGCTGGATAGCTCCTGCCCCAAACACAGTTAGAGAAAGAAAGTAAGAGATCTAGGAGAAGTTAATCTATCCTTGACCCCGTGGCAAACCACAATGTGTTATCCTCTACAAGAAATGAGTCAGACAGAGAGGGAGAGGAGGCCAGGGAAAGGGGCAGAAGACTGTCTAACTTCATCTTGTCAAAGAGAGAAAAAAAAGATCAGCAGAAATGAAAAGAGGTGCACTGTGCACAAGCAGCACTCATCCTGTGAATATAACCACGGTGAGAGTGGAGGAGACACAAAAAGCCTGCAAAGGAGTCTCTATCAAAGATGTGATAATTCAGTTTTGACTCACTCAATTACTATCACACAGTTGGATCTTTATCTCCAGTGCACAAACGATTCATTCAGCCTCACTCCATTCAGTCCTGCTCGCTATTCCTCTCCGGCACTCCCGCACTCAGTCACCCCTCTGCACTCACACGCACACACCTCCCTCCATTCTTGACCACAACACAGTGACCTCACCCCATCTGTTTCTTATTGGTCTCTTTGGTGAAGCGAACACGGCAACCAGTCGATGTGATTGGATTATGCAAGGAAATCCCGGGGAAACCCCTCCCATCCTTTATGTTCATCTCAAAACATCAGTATCCAATTTCCACAGTCTTGCCTGCATGTTGCATCAGACAAAAACATGGTTAAATAGACATTTCCGCTGCGCTGGAGCACTTCTGATTTTGCTTTGCAGGCGACTGACTGAAGAGACAAACCAGGGCAGAGAATTTTTGATACTGAGGACAGCAGTTTGGTTTTTCTTTTGCAAATCGCCAAGTGTGCAGATTGAGTTTTAAAATTTCTGGAACAGGCAGAAGAGTAGCTTTTGAAGCATCTTTTGCACTTTTAATCTTTTTTTTGTTTTAGATTTTTAGTTTTTCTTTCCTTTTTTGGTGGATTCTTAGAATATGATCAAAAGCTGCAGCTCTGACCCCAACAGCATAACAATCAGTTTTGAGTTGTATCAAGAAAAGCTTAATCACTTCAGATTCCACAGGCCTAAAACAGAGTTCATAGTTAGTCGAGCAAGAGAAAGAAAAAATGTTACTTAAAAGGAAGAGGTGAGTTAGATGCAGCATCAGAACTACTTTTGCTGTTTGTTTCTTTGTTTTGTTTTTTCTGTCTACAATAGTGACATCGCTGACACTTGTCTCTGTTCTTTCAGATCAACAGGTGCCTTTGATGAGGATAAATGGTGAGTCAATGGTGTTGTTGTGTATATATATATATATTTTTTCTTCTTTGTGTAGCAGCTTTGACCTCTGCAAGCCTGGGTGTGGTCCGGCCAAAAATTTGACATACTGTTTCAAAATGTATGTTGCTGTAGAAGTATGTTAGAAAATCCAATCCAAAAATATATATTTTTTCTGTATTGTCACTGCACTCGTTTTTATTCTATTTGCATTAAATTTTTCTTTTAATGTCCTTATTAGACAATATATTCTCTTAGTGCATATATTTGACTAACCTTGTCATGCATGCCTTAGTGTCTTTAGGCTACTCTCTGAGGACTCCTCGTCCTCTTCAGTTCAAATTCTTTATTGTACGCCTTGTACTCAGGCGGCAGACTCTGAGAAACTGTGCAGTGTCTGGTAATGTGATGCACTTTTGTTCTATGCACATCCCCAGTGTCTCCTCCCTTTCCTAGCTCCTTTAATATCTCCTCAGCTCTTTGTGTGTCTTTTTTTTTTCCCTTCCCACTCCCCCCTCCTCTCATGCTCCTCCTCTGGACATCTGCAATTCTCCAACTCCCTCTTTCCTTCTAGTCTTTCATGAAGTTCGTCTTTTTTTTTCTTTTTTCTTTTTTCTTTTTCTTTTTAAACCAAGTGTCTCAACTGTATTACTTGGAGATAGAATAAGCACACTGGTATTTTTGCTGCCATTAATGTGAGGACACATGCGTCTGTAGGGACTTTTAATATAATATATATATATAGATATATATTCTGGGAATTTAAGCAAGTTAATTTGTTTAAAAACTATATACTATTATTAACACAAGTTTCTTGTTTCTCCACTAGCCAAACCATCTTTAATGCTGTGGTCTTGTACATGAAACACCTCGGGGTTAAAAACAGGGCAGCTGACAGTAAGAAGTCCAAAGGAGGTTTCTTCAGTAGAAAGACTAAGGTAAGGTAAACTGACAGCATCGGTATCCTATTAGAAAGCTAAATAAATGCATCAACAATCAGAACAGTGCAGGGCAATTATTGGCCTGCAGTGTTCTTCTTAAACCGTTTTGTAGTTGAATTTGTATTTTTTTCAGCCTTTTGATCTGATTTTAATTTTACCTTATTTTTTAATTTCCTACCTGGTGATATTGCAGCCCAAGATTAAGGATGATATCCCAAAGGCCAAAATCTCAAGAGTGTTTCCTGTTTTACCAAACTGGATGGGTGTGTATCATTTTTTTTCCTGTGTTATAATTAATATACTAAACTATATAATATACTGACTTTTAAAATTTGCTAAGTGATGTTGATGAATAATGTGGATATGAAAATATTTTGTCCTACCCTTCTTTCCAGTTACAGTTGAGTCCAAAATTAAAGTGGATGAAGGTAGTCACTGTTCAGAATCCTCCCCTTCTGCTTTTTAACTTGTAGATTGAGAATGGTACTAATTAACCCGCAAGCATGTGTGCATGTCCTGAATCAGTACAGGAAAGCATGTGGGTGGAGCATTGTTTAATTGATGTTGTGCATTGGAGTGGTTCTTTACAAATATTATACTAGCACTGAGTCTTTAAACACTGAAAATGTCATAAGTTTTCATAAATATTTCCTAATCTAAATGGGTGTTCCTCAACTCCTTGTTGGCTAAAATCACTTGTGTGGCCCCCTAACCCATACCCATCCAAATCTCGTAGTTGATGACTTCGCACTTTAACTCAGGATTCCCCGTTTGTTTTGTGTCTTGCAGAGACTTGCATTAATCTAAAAAACATTGTTGATATACTTTTTGTTTCAAACCAGTCCTTTTGTTAGCTGCAGAAGTCCTGTCTGTCTGACTTACAAAATCTGCTGTGTGCTGTTTTTTGTTTGTTTGTTTGTTTTTTTGTTTGTTTGTTTGTTGTTAAGTGAATGAGGTTCTTTGTGGTCATGGTTTTTTGTTTGTTTGGGTTTTTTTTCTTCGTCTTCTCAAGCAGACAGGGATAGAGGGTCAGTCGATCGCAAAGGTCCTGGCGCTAAAACCACCCCGAATGACTCTGGAGTTCCCACTATATCGTTGAACAAGAAGCAGAGTCTAATCCCTCCTGTACAACCTGCGGTAGATGTTGATTCCCCAAGCAACAACGCCACCAGCACGACTACCATAGAGTCATACAGTGATGGTAAGGTTGCTCATTGATACTGATGAATGAGATACACCACAGTTGTTTTGGTGTCCCTGTGTCCCTGTGTTTAGTATTTTATTGCACTGCCGCTGTCATGGTGTCATGACATGCTTTTTCAGGAGATTATTTGAAATGATGGTGAAACTTTTATCTGGCCAGAAATAGTTTTCAGTTTAAAACTCTTTTCTAAAATGAAAACATGTTGTGATTTGGGCTAAATTCTAACATTCTCCTAAAAGTCACACCCTGACAGTACTAATGTACACAAGATATAACACACAGGCATTTTATGGGCACATTGTATCACTATTATATTATACCAGCCTTCAGAGTGATTTGATGTGTTCTTGTAAAATGATTTCCATTATTTCTTTTGCTTAAAATGTAAGGTCAATTTTATTTAACAGAAAAATGCTAAATTTAATTTTCAATTCTTCTAGCTGTCCCAAGCAATCGTTTAGAGCTTCCAACTCTGCAAGATGACTTGCCCTCTGGGCCTGCAGGTGGGCTGATCGAGCCCATCTCGCCCATCTCACCCAGTGACATCCCGCCTGAGGAGCCTGTGGAGAAAGAAAGGTGAGAAGGATGGAGATAGTAATAACAAGTATAGTCTAGGGAGTGAGGTAATATCTGTCGTGTAATGAGTAAGAGATTATAAGCATTTCACAGATTTAGAGATTGTAATCAGATTATAATTAGACTTTATGGGAGACGAATGACCAGGGTAAAGTGGGAGAACAAAATGTGTTTGAATTGCTGAGGCTGGGGCGAGCGTGGTAAAACTCCCCCAGCAGTCTGTCCCTGCTGTGTGCTAGCTTTTGTCATGCTGCCCATTGCTCGCTAGCTAACAGAGTCTTCAGTCTTGAGATGGACCCCAATCAGGTGAACCCAAATCCAGCCTTCTACTTCCAGCACTCTGCCTTTCCTTCCCTCATTCCCTCTCTCCTTTTTCTTTTCCATAATGGCACGTGTGCTCTTTCAAATATCTTCTGTGTTTTTTGTGTCTGCGTCCTTTGCATCTCTTGTTGATGTTTACAGCAGAGCTTTATTGCAGGTTTTGTCGCATATAGACATCAGCTGTGCAATTCTATCTTTTTTTTTTCTTTTTTTGGGGGGGGGAGGGGGGATTGAGGTACATGTTGGCAATAAAAAGGCATATTTATCCATACTTGCATATTTGTGATCATAATAGTGCTATTGCATCAATATTGACTCTTTCTAAGTCACAGCCATTAGCCTTGTTAAGCCAAAGTAAAAGCTTTATAAGAATTTGAATATTGGCAAGTTGTTCTACTGCCAGCCTTGAGACAAAAATTTACACTATGTAATTACATTAATAGTCAAACATAGACACTACATTTAGTTCAGCATTTTTAGTTCATTAGAGCTTTTTATTTTGTGTGCTTTTCAAGGTGTCTCCGTCTGTTGCCATGGTCAGGGCCCGTCCTTTGTCCTGCTTGTCTCCACCGTATGTGGTGTTAAATGTTGTGCCAGGCGCTTTGGCATCGTTTTTGGCATGCTATTCTGACAGAGGTTTTAAAATTAGTTTAGGATAGTATGGAGGGATGTGCTTTTTGAACGTTATGGTTGTCACTGTGGCTTACAACAGTTGTGTAAAGGCGAGTGTGTAACAATGTGGTGTCCCGTGTTTTTGCAGACGGAAGACAAGGTGGGTGTCAGCGCCTTGACAGAGTCATGGACATGCTTCAGGCCTTATACTGATCGCATATCACACAAACACAGAACACAACACTCACATGCACATGCTCACATTGAGCTTCACAGTGCTTTGCAGATACGTAACATAAACATGGTGAAACATTTTTAACCTGCTTGTGAAAGAATTAGCTGATTGTTGAGATTAGCTGGATTTTTTGTTGTTGCTGTTATGCATGTTGTGTGAAACTGGAGAACTGCTGAGATAGCTTAAAGTTGCAAAACTGAAAACTTGTACAGTATAGTCCACAAAGTACAAGCAATGCCTGGCTAGTTTAACATACCTTTTGTAGATTGGCAATTTAATGCAGTGTATGAAATACTTTTACTATCTAAACATATGCATGTCATATCATGCATATTTGCTTGTTATCCATTTTCTTTTTCTCTACCTTTTGCTGATGTGATTTATATTTTTGTGTAAATTCTCTATTGATTTATCTCATCCTCTTTATCATCCTAATTACCTATCTTCATATGTACATCTGCTACGTACATCTACGTACATCTGCTGTCTTTTCCTTCTACTATGTTTTCTGTTTTTTCTTTTTATTCTCTGGCCTCACTTTTCCTCTTAAAATCCACACATTTTCCTCTTTTCTTCCTGCTGCTTTCTTTTGTTTCCACCTGTCATTTCTCTTTATTCTGTCTC